GGACTGCTAAAATGCTAACTCATTTCCAGGTTTTAGGACTCATTCCCCCAGCACTCTATATCTAGATTAATAAAGTAAATAAGTCAAGTCCGTTAGAGTCATCGGTCTCATACCCAAGTCAAGTCTTAAGACGTGAACGCCAAGATAAAGTCAAGTCATGTCTTTATTAATGCTAGCCAAGCAAGTCTCGAGTCCTCAAATCTGTGACTCAAGTCTGACTCAAGTCAATTCATGTGACTCGAGTCCCTGAACCTCTGGCTTTTAGTAATGTTTTGGCACATTTCATTCACCCTTGCACACAGTTAACATATTCAACAAGCCTGTCATATATTCAGATTTGCAGTTTACAGTTGTCAAGTCAAAACAAGAAATGTTTTTTTTCTCGGAATAAACTACAAAAGGCATGAGGACAAAATATAAATATAACATAAACAGTCTGTGACTGAGGATTTCTGGTAACCACAAAGTGACTTGTGTAGTTTGGGATGAATCCAAACACTTCCCAGACACAACATTAATTCCTCAACGAGTTTTCTGGGAAAATATAACCATGCCTGCAGATTGTACACTCGCCAGGTTTTGTGTGAGTCAGTCATAGAGAGCAGCTCAATGTGTGTTTGACACATTCAATTTCCTCTGTTTACATCAGTGAGTGTGTGACCTGTCATCACGCGCAAGTCAGACTATTTTATGATAACACTGAGCAGCCTGATCTCGGTCATTTCGCTGGTATTGTTCAAAATAAATTAGTGGGTTCTGAGTGAATGCATGCATAATACCTGCTGTTATAGTCTTTGACATGTGGCTAATTGTTCATACATTCCCAGGCTGCACTGTCAGGAGGGAAAATACACTCTGATTGTGTTAAAGCTGCTGTTTCATGGTGAGGAGGAAAAAAAAAATCAGATTTTAAATGTCAAGTCTCATGTAGCGTAATTAATGTCTCAGAGTGCATCATTACTAATGCATCATTTACTCTTTAAATTACATGCAAACACCATTATTCTTTCAGATGTCTATCAACACTAGCAGCATGAGGTTTTCCTCTCCACTTGGTTTCAGAATGAAAATAACACAGCTGCAATTAGGTGAGACAACTATACTACACATCTCTGCAATTAAGACTTTTATTTTTAATCTGTCTCCTGTTTTTATCCTGCATGGTTTTATCACATCTAGTCAAGCCTGTAGCGACTCGACTGTAACAAGGCCCGAAACGTCTGAATCTTCTGTTCTGGGTGCAGTAATTTATGCATCTCTCCGTCTCAGTGATATCAGCTGAGGCAAACTGAGGAGGACAGAAATGTTAACCTTTGAGCAGACAGCCATGTCTAAATTAAACATCAAGGGTGAGAAGAGACAGTGGAGACATTTTATCTAATGAGAGAAAATGTTGAACTGAACAATGCAGTGCTGGACACTGTACAAAATTGTTATAGACAACACTTACACACAACAACACAGTATCTAACATACTGTTGATATCAATCCATATATTTATTGTTTATGGATGCCTTTTGTGGTCATTTTTCGTAATAAATATTTCATTTAATATATTACTATGAAAAGGTGTCTTACAGAGTAAATATTCAAATTATTCTATATTTTTGGGATGCAGTGATTCATTCTGTTTGTCTCTTTTGTTTTCACAGTCTTCAACATGGCAAATTTTACATTAAGTTTTAAAGCCCCTGAAAAATAGGCTTCAAATCTTAAAGAGGAACTCTAGTATTTTTCAGCCTGGACCTCATTTTCCCATGTTTTTAGTGACTTATGCGAACAATTTTTGAAATTGGTCCGGTACTGAGAGAGACTGTTGCAGCTGGAAGTGGCAGAATAGCCGACCACGTAAACACTCAGGAATATGAGCACCTTTAATTTACGTCCTACGCCACTGACAGGCTCAGAAGTGTCTTACAACATTATAGAAAGGACCCTGCAAAGAAATGTAAAGTTTTTCCTTACCTTTCGCTTGTTCTGTTCTGTTTTGTCTCCACAGGAGAAGTCTTGTTCTGAAATCTAGCAAGAGGTGACTTGTTGCAGAAAGAAAATAATGGGAGAGTGGGAGAGAGAAGTGCCGGTCATAGCTTGTTAGTGTTTCAATACAGAAAGCGTAGCTGAGTGATTTCTAAAAGATTTTCACTGTCATGGATGAATATTTAGCTGATTTTGACAACATGAAAAATGGGACTTATTGCAATGAGACTTGGTTAGACACAAAAACAAACAGACTGGATCAACGAAAGGTAAGGACAACCGTTTCATTTCTCTGTCAGGTCCTTTCGGTAATATTGTCAGACACTTACAATAATAAAAATTAGGGCCGTCAAATTCACATGTTAACTTCGATTAATTAATCACAAGGAAAAAACGCGTCAAAGAAATTAAGGCTGATGAATTGTGGTCTGTGGTGCCCTCTGACCTGATGTGTCATTGAAGGCCAGACTGACTGAATCAGTCAACCTGTGACCGACTGACTAACTCTCTTTCAAAATGGACTGCAGACCAGTTTCGGCAGTCGAGGACAGGGACAATTGTGTCCAAAATCCAGCAGCTTTACTGCGACACATCTGCCAAAATTCATTTGAATTGAAATATTTTTTTTAAAAAAACTTTCACAGCAAAAATTGATATATGTGATTAATTTAAATTAGTCAATCACAGAGCATGTTATTAATTGGATCATTTTTTTAATTGCTTGACAACCCTAATAATAACAATGTGAGCCTGTATACTGCACACACAGCCGTTTGGAAAGGATCCAAACAGAGATAGACCATTTTTATTGAGGAGTTTAACCAAATACAGCCCTAAAACAGGCACTGCCAAACCCATCAGCATGTTTAGAGCCAGTATATTTTCACATCTAACTGGGTGAGCCTGTATACTGCACACACAGCCTGAGTGGTTTCACTGTACACTGGCTGCAGCGGTCTCTCTCGATAATGAACCAATTTCAAAACTTGTGGAGCATTATAAGGTAATTCCTCTACATTTGTCCAACAATAAAGTCAATAAAACATTTGTCAGTTTATTTTTCCAATCAACATCAACCCATTTGTACTGATACTGGAGAGAATAAAAATTACTTACAGTGTCCTTTTCTCTGTCTGTTTACAAACTGACGACAACACTTGATTTATTAATTTTTCAGCACACCCACAGCGTCACTTTAATTCAAGCATCCAAAAAAGTACAAAAGTTGGATTCTTCATCATTCCTTCTACTGCAGACTAATGAAAAAACCTTTATCCAGTAGTTACAGGGAGATATTTCACATATTTCTTTGTGATATTTATTTTGAGAGGCTCAAAAGCTTCAGCAATGCCGACATTCAAGACAGGAGTGGTGGAGTATACTGCATTACTGTTGAAAATGGGTAAACCAAATGTCTGTAAATTCAAATAAAATGCGCAAATGTAGTTTCTGTGGTTTCATTATTGCCTGCATAAATCAGATTTTCTCAGTATAGCACATTGCCCACATTTTAACAGTGTCATGATATTTGACTATTTCACTGAATGTACTGCCGTCAGTGAAAAAACAAGGCTGCAGAAAGGCTCAGTACATTCTTCAGTCAGTGTAGCTACATTCAGACACACATATCAAATACATAAAAACAAAAAGCAAAGTAAATATTCTTTGGCAGTTTCCACAGAGGAGCTGAGAGAAGCACAGCAGCAACAGGGACAGAGGGGAAGTAAGTGGTTTAACTGGTAAATAGATATAAAACAGATTTCCTCTATAACTTGTAACAGCAGCACAAGCTTTACTTCTCATAAAACCTGCTCTCCAGTGTTTGTGCTACCTACAGTGCTGTGACAAAGTTTGTGCACCTCACATAATGATGTTTAATCTGGACGCCAGAGCTGTTACTGTTATGGTTCTAAAAGTACTATACTCCCAAATTTTTGGTGGGACCATAGAGACAACAATTTTTTAATTGGTCCAGTATTGGATGAGAGTGCTGCAGATGGCAGCGGTTAAACGGCCGCAATTTAACCACTTTGGGGCATTTGTGCTCCGTTAATGAACATCTACTAAAAGTGATGTTTTTACCACTGACAGACTCAGACTGTTATTATAAGTGTCTGACAACATTATGGAAAGGATCCAAACAGAGATAGACCATTTTTATTGAAGACTTTAACCAAATACAGTCCCAAAACAGGCATTGCCAAACCCATCAGCATGTTTAGAGCCAGTATATTTTCACATCTAACTGGGTGAATTAGGGGTTTATTTCAACCAAACCAGGGTTGGTGGTTGCTGGAACAGTGGGAAGACAGAGCAAGATGGCTTTTGATTTTTATTTTGATTTTGCTGACTTTGACTGAAGTGTGTTTTACGATGATAAAATTACTTTTTATTCAAATGGACTCTGGTGGAATTGGTTAAATCAATTTTGGGGCTGTTTTGTTAAACAAAAAGGATCTTATTCTTAGATAAAAAGGTCTGTCTCTGTTGGGATCCTTTCAATAATGTTGTCAGACATTAATAGCAACAATCTGAGCCGGTCAGTGGCAAAAGCACTCTGAGTGGGTGTAAACTGACAGTGCATAATTGTCCCTAGTGGCTATATTGCAGCCTGCTTCACTGCTGTTGGCTGCATCCCTCTCGTTCAATACTGGCAATTTCAAATATTGTTGTTCCTTTTAGTCACCTAGACACAAAACAACGGGAAAATAGGGCCCAGGTTGAAAAATGCTGGCACTACCCTTTAAGTTAGAGTCGTTACGATACGATACCAGTATTGGAAAAGCCTCCAATAGTGCCTACAATGCTGGATCAGCTATTGGCATACTCGCCGACACCTGAAATACTAGACTTGGTAACATGATGTCACCCATTGGTTTGCGGACTCCAACTTTAAAGCTTAAACTTTAACTTTAATTCTTAACGAAATGTAAACAGGTGAGTTATAGTAAAATTCAACCCCATACAGTTGTCATGAATGTTAAAATGAGCTATAGAGACCAAAACTGGTTTTTGTACCAGGTTGTAAGCATGTTTATTTCTGCTGTAAAGTTCGGCTGTTTAACATGGGGGTCTGTGGGGAGTTATTCGCTTCAGGAGCCAGCCTCATGTGGCCATTTAAGGAACTGCAGTTTTTGGCACTTCCATAGTGGCTTCATTATTTTAGCACCGGAGGCTGCCACTTGGTTATAACCTCCTCTCTCCCTTGGTTTCCTGTCTGTATTTATACTATTAATTATCCAGTAGAGAAAAAAATGGAAAAAAAAAATACAATTCCCTCTGTCAAAGAAGTTATGTTTTCAGACCCGTTTGTTGGTCTGTTAGCAGGATATCTGCAAATTTATAAACATATTTCAATAAAATATTGTGCAATAGGCCAAGGAACAAGGGATTTAATTTGGGATTGGGGGGCTGGCCATTATATAATATTTTTGCTTTTAAAAAACAATAAATTATTAAAAACTTTAAAAAGGACTGCAATGTAGAATAAGGATAAAAAATCTCCACACATCACCTAACTTAGAGCTCAAACCAGTGCTGTAACAGGACATGGTTATTACACTTTTTGTCTTTTTTTCCCTGCTGCACCTTATTAAAAAGCTCTTCTGTTAACTGTGCTCTCCAGATCTCATTCAAGAGCTATAATGTGTTTGTTTCCCACAAACAAAATCAGATGTCGCTCCGGCAAAAGTAAGAATCACCTAATTTATTTTATAAACGGTTCTGATGGAGTCACACATTAAGATGTAGTTTAAAAACATTGCTATGATTAATATAACAAATGTATGCAGCCTTTCCGAATGTGCGTACTCTTAGTGTTTTCTGTTTGATTAAAATCGTTTCTTGATCAACAGCTGCAGAAAAAGGAAATAACAAGAACTTTAGGGATATAAAAAACTTTTTCACAGCACTGTATCTTCCCCCAAAAATCAGTATGGGCTTTACAAAAGCAATAACAGGGCACTGTCAGCAATTTCTGTTGCTCACAAAAAACTTCTCCAGTGTGTGTGCAGAGCATGGAGCGCAGAGTCATGTCAATGCTATTTGGCGTTGGGGGACAGATAGTAGGGGTGAAACAGTCTCTCACTGGAGCAGATGCTCAGAGCAGCATGTGTATGCATCAGTAACCGTGGAAACCGTGAGGTGAAGTAGCTGACAAAGCCTTCGGGCAGCTCGCCGAGAGTCTCCTGCACCTCCTTTGGCAACTCGTGGTAGTGATGCTTCTGTAACATGCAATATTAGCATACATGTGTCAGAGTGTGTCTCCATGTATGAAAAAATATTAGACTCAATCCCATTTCTTATTTCTACCCCTAGCCCTCATTTTTGAGTGCCGCCTTGCACTCCCAACAAGAATCGGGTCACCATAGCCCTACATGTGAACACGCACAACAAAGGGGGTAAGGGCTAAGTGGTAGGGACAAGGGGTATTTTGGGATTTGGCCTAGGTGTATCAGTAAGCATGCAGGCTGACCTTATTCCTCATGGCTCTCAGCAGATCTCTGACCGAGTTTCCTTTATATGTCCTGAACCGCCTCAGGTCTGGAACGCACACAGGAAGAAATGGATTACAGACCGTCCTGCACAGGTGTGAACAGAGCAGTTATGTGAAACTGTGTGGGTGTGCTGGTGCCTTTACCTGTCTGCAGAGGCACTGAGATATGCATCCTCCAGTTGGTTCGCACCACTCCTCTTCCTGCAGTCTCCAGTCTGACCACAATCGGACTATCTGCTGGTTCCTTCTCTATGCGGTCACTGACGTCCTACATATGCACACAAACGTTAAAACAGAAACTACGCCTCCCACATACATACTTAGACCCTTTTGCACGTTTCCTGCTCTGTGTTTATTATCAGAAAATTAAAAAAAATGTATCTAATTAGAATAAACCAGAAAGAAATAACTTTTTCAAACTAGTAATCATTAAAAGAGGCCTGTAGTATCACAAGAGAGACAGCTGATCCTTTGTGTATGTGTGACCAACTGGAATAAGACACCTGGAAAAAGAGCAGCTGCTTCTCGGGGCTCCAGAAGAACGGATGTTTGAGCACACAGGCTGTGGAGGGCCGGGACTCAGCCTCAGCACTGATCATCTTCTCAATCAGATCCTGTGCTATGACGTCATCTAAATTAAGAGAAAAACAGTTGTCAGGTTTTCATGTATTATTTTACTTTTGTCCAAAATACAGCCTTCCAACCTTCGTCTTGAGAGACAGTTCTACCTAAGACGCAGAAGTCATAGAAGAAGTCATAGCAAGAAAATCCTTTGAGCACTGAATGTATTGGCGAAGAAGTTGAATTGTTGAGTTGTGATTTTATCATCGTGGTTCACTAGATCTTTTAATGCAGGACAAGGAGGTGGTTTGATAAATCAGAATCTTTCTATTGGAGAATTTTATGCAGAAGTATTGTGGAGGAACTGAGTGAACAAGCTTTAATGATGCGGCATAAAAACATGTTTACGCATGAACCAAGCCAGGAAAGACATTTGCAAAAACACCACTCTCACCATGTATATCCTCCATAAAATGCGAGAGTGAATATTCTCCTGACAGGATGTTGACCTGTCGACGTAATGCATCACCAAAAGGGTGCTGCCCCCTGCTGACCACGTAGTAAAACACACAGCCTGCTGAGAACACGTCCACAGCTGCTGTCTGTAGAGAGAAAAGAAGGACAATGGATCAGACAAAATACCCATCTCTACATCAGAGTTCCTCAATCTTGGGGTCCACTTAGTTTGTGGGTTAAGATGTATTTAGGGACAAAAAAAAGTCTCTATAAAAAAATTAAATATAAAGGTTTTAGGGTCGGGACACATGCACCGTCTTTAAAACTGTGGAAATAGCAAGGTCAGGCTCTGGGTGGTAAAACTGTGCCTGCTCTTTGCCAGCTTTAAATGGTGCAGAGGCAAGTTGTGCCTGACGTTGCTGTAAGACCATAACCAGCACCATATCATAGCCTAAAATATCCATGGGACAGATTTAAAGCTCTGAGAAGCCCTGCACTAAAATGATCAACTTCTCCTTCACCTTTACCACCAACTGATATTTATGGAAGAAAGGAAAGATATCTGATGTTTGTGACTAGTTGTTCCTCATCACATGACATGCGGTGCTCATTGCTGCACTCCAAAAGTTTAACTTTGTTTATCTTACAGTGTAGCCGCTGAGCCCTGAAAGATAGGCACTTGGGACTTGGGAACACTTGTGCCCTGTAGTGGTGTCACTCTAAATTTTTGAGCGAGCCTTCCACACGTCTACACTGACCACCATAAATTTGAGAGCACAAATAACATGGCATGTGAACAACATTTAAAAGAAGTAATAATTCTTTTATAAGCTATTTGGCACTCCTTGTATGTCTTAAAACTAAATACCAAAGTATGTCTGATTCAAATTCACACGACACAATGAAAATTTTGGAACAGGTGCACAGACCTCCAAGCTACATATGAACCTGTTTTATCATCTATAACTTTCTCACTGTGTCCTTTTTAGCTAACAAATTGACCTAATGTTCAAAGAAAGACACTTCTGCTGAATATGTGGGCGCAACCTACCGGTTTGTTGCCAGGAGTATCCCGCAGTACTTCAGGAGCTATCCACCCTTCAGTTCCTGGTATTCCTGACCGCAAAGAGAAGCTGCTCCGACCGTCTGGGATCTTCTTACAGAGTCCAAAGTCAGAGATGAGAGCTCGGACTCGACCCAGCGCACTGGGGCCAGAAAGGAGGATGTTTCTGGGCTTCAGGTCACGATGGACTAAGCGGACAGATGATGAAGAAAACAATGTTTAGCTGTTCAGGTTAAGCTGTGCTAAAGTGCCATCTGTGTCTGGAGGAAAGAATTTAGAAACATCATCTCTGTTTACACTTGTATGTGTATGTGTATATATCTATATGAGTGTGTAACTCAGACCTATGTTGAGCGAGTGGAGGTGTGAGAGGCCACTCATGGTCTGTCCCAGCAGAGTTATAGGATTCAGCTCAGGAAAACAAGACGGATCCTCCACATACTGCACAGACACATAAAAACATATGATGGTTTTGTTATTAAGGGATGTCATGTTAAACAGGAACTACTTAATAAGGATAACATAAAGGCCCTACAGTACTGACCTGCTGCAGGGTTGCAGTGCACAGCTCAATGGCGATGTAAGTGAAGAGGCGGTCTCTCTCTGTGCAGAAATATCGGATGACATTTGGGTGTGTGTCAGACTCTCGGAGGAGCTGCACCTCGCGTTCTGCTACCTCAAAACACTCTGGCAATATTCGCTTCACCGCTACGTGGCGTCCATCAAAATTACCCCTAAAGTCCCAAAAAAAGAAGACATTAAGCACAGTGCTGTATGTGCCACAGAACAATGAAGTTTATCTCAGAAACTCAGTGTGTTGTTGTTTGTTAACATTAGCACATTTTGTACGGTGATAGTGTTTCCTTTACAAAGCATACCATAAATATTTAGTTTGATTTTCACCACAAAAATCAAATGTCTTTGTTGTTGGAGACATTTTGACATTTCACATGGGGAAAAACACAGGTGTAACTAATTAAAATTAACAATGGCTGCATTCCATTTAGCTGTGTCAGTTTTTGAGTCCTGGTATTGTTAAAGCTGGCTGTCTGTCACACTGTCATGACCAAGGGGCAACCTCCAGGGTGAAAGTGAAGTCTACTGTTAAAGCCACAATCTGTTTGAAATCACAGTGACCATTTAGTCACCTTTATATTATATTTATATGTATTATAGACTGTATATTATGCATGGATTATGTAATATGCTGTTTGTAGAGGTATGCAGTGGACTGTTTAGAAAACAGTTTATCGGATGGTGTGTTTACTGACTCTCCAACATCCAAGATTTGACATTCGGCTGCCAGCCAACAACAAATAAACAAGGTGGTAATAAACAAAAGTCTATGTGGGTGGTAAGAAAATGTGTGGCAGAAATGTAAAGCACACCAGTTTAGCACTTAATGATCTAAAACATGCAAATCCAATACGGTAATTTGAGGGCCAGGCGCATTAAAAAAATTAAATACACATACTGTACCTGAACACAAATGTTCCCGCTGTGCCATGTCCAAGCACCTCAGACGGCGTGAAGGAGATTTTACCAACCTGCACCTCCTCACTGTTTCCCTCTGAGAGAGCGAGAAGGAAGAATGAAGCAGCTAGAAATTAATCTCATCTGAATGTTGAGGGACAAGAAAAAATAATATACAGTTTGATGTGTTACCCGCTGTGGGTTGGGGCCCTGAGGTGCCGTTTCTATCGACATCTGAAGTGCTGCCCCCGCTGTGAGTGCGAGGACTAGGTGGAGGGGCAGCAGATGCAGGCTGAGACTCTGAATACAGAAAAGTGAAGATATTCAATGTGTGTGTCTCTTTCTCTGCACCCAGTTTAATCAAGCACTGAAGAATATTGATGATGTCTAGGCTCTGAGAAAAATTATACTTCAACACTTATTTATGCAGTTTAATAATCCATTTCTCAAGTGCTATTCAATGGAAAATGTTTAATCATTGAACTGGGGCCAAAGGTCACTAAATAAAGAGAACATAGCTTGACAGAGAACTTGTGTTGTAAGTAACTCACCAGTGGAGATGTTTGTGTCAGTGGAGAGGGTTGCATCTGAGGTGACCTGGGTCACGGTCTGCATGTTTGTCTGCATGCGCTGGAGACGAGACTCAAGAGCCTCCTCCAGCTGCCTTTGAGCTTTTAGCTGATGAGCTGTGCGCTGGAGAAACATACACAGATACAGATCATATTAAACACTGTTGGAAGTTGCTGGTTGAGAGTCAGTATTGAAGCAGACAAATAGCTGGAGCTCTTCTTTGAAAGAGTATGACATTATAAAGCTCTCTTTTACAGCACTGCTGCGGCACTAAAAACACAGCAAACTACCGCTCAGCCCAAATGTTATGAAAGACAAGTGTTGAGACACTGATAAAAGAAAAAGGCATTTGAAGTGCATGGCACCCCATAATCATTATTTCAGCGACAAATTATCCTTCATTATATGAACTCAGTAATGCATGAATTTGAGGCATGAGTGCTGTTTTAAAGAGTTTCATAGTGTAAGCATTTTGCATTAGAGGTTAGCAGCACTCATGAGAAATTTCGCTCTACAAATACATTTGTACTTATCTATTATGATTTATTGCCCAAATTTCTGTACATGAAGACATGTATTGGTTATTTTTTTTAAAATCTTTTTCTTATCCCTGTTAATAATAAGTCGAATGTATACATGGAGAGACATCACATAAAGCTATTTTATTGTATTACTAAGGCAAGAAATCTATTAGAAAGCAAACTTGTGTGGTTTCTACTTCTAGGTTTTCACTGAGAGCAGCCTCAAAAGACCAAACAAAAATGCAGCCAAAAAGAGTTTGTGTTTTGGTAAGAGTTTAGGGCACCCTGTGGAGTTTTTGTATAAACAAACAAAAGTTATGTTTGCATTCACTAATGCTCACCAACATGCACTGTGTGTATCTAAAATGTGTTGAATGTATTTCCTTCCTCATAAAATATTTGGATTTTTTAAATCTACCATTATTTCCATCCATGTCCTAGCTTTTACAGATGTCCCCATCCTATCTCAGTAATTCGTATTTGGGCCAATCAAGGCATGTGTTAACTATCGGGATTGGCTATACTGAGCCACATAGAGCCCGATCCAATCTTTTGTCAGCTGTCACACAAATGTTTTTTTCTGCGAAGCGTTAACGCACAGCAACTTGGGACTCCAGCCATCGTCAACTCTCCAACTCTCTGCTGTCTATCTGTCTCTCCACTCTGTGTGTGTGAGCAGAGGCTGAATCCCTCCCACAGGGAAACACCACACACCATAAACAACATCAAAATGCACTATGACAATGTTTATTGATGTATTTAGCTACTGTATCTGCACCACGCCACTGCAAGTGCAACAAAATCCCGCAAGCAAACGTACAATATGACAAAATGTAATCCACATAAAAGGTGTGCAATTGACGAAAATAAACACGCAGCGGAATGCAGTTTGTTCAGGTAACTCAGGCAAAGGCTGCACCAAATCAACAAACACTAGAAAATACTATCTTAAAGGGACAGATACATTCCCTTAAGAAGGCCACAAGGCCAAAAAGATAGAAGAAAGTGTCTGTTATTTTATTTTTATCATTAGTTTGTTGAAAAAAAATTTTAAAAAATGGATCAGCTTGGATGTCGGGAATTTTTTTCTTGATGCACTGCAAAGCTATAGAATTATCAGGCATATACACTGCACTGATTTTAATGACTAAAATACTTGAAGTGTGCACTGTGCAGCTGTATTATCTAGAAAAATCAGGATTCTGTAGCGGCATAAGCTCAATATTAAATTACTTGGTTCGGGATCAGGGGAAAAAAGACTTCATCGGGACATCCCTACTTGCTATCAGTCGTCTTCTGCCCTATCTTTTCTGATGCATTGCTGCATATCTTGGAGTGATACCACCACCTGCTAAATAGTGGAATAGTGTAAAACTGACGGCGGAACTGTTCACATCATCCAGGTATGCACACACATGCATGTGCATCTTTGTGAATGTGCGCAAGATAAACAAAACAGTGACCCACTCATAGAAAAACAGCCCCGTAGCGCTGCAAAAACTCCACGGGATACTTTCAAGCTCTTGCTTGTACCATCATGACTGCCTGAGATTGATAGAGTTTGTCACCATATGTTCCTATAAACCTAAAAAACATCTCAAACACACATGCATCCAAACAACTAGACAAAAAACACAAACTCACAACAGGGTATGTGAGCGCAAAGGCCAGCCACCCTCCCAGCAGCAGCGTCAGAACAGCTAAAGTGAGCCGGTCCTGAGTCATATAGACAGGCAGCACGGCGGCCGGTTTCTGTCCTGTCGTCTTCCCATCCACCTCCTCTCTATTAGCATTAGTGTCGCTATGGCCACCAGCAACTGCCTGGAACTGAAGGACACAAAAAGACAACAGGGACGAGAAAAAATGGAAATATAATGAGGTGTCATTTGTTTTTATCTTTGTTTGTCATCATTGTTCTCCGTAAAGCAGTTTATGGTGATAAGTGGCTGTTAATGGGGCATTTGGCAGTTTGTCACATCATTGCCTTGGTCTCTGAGACAGCTTCAAGTGTGCTGTAATAGACAGTAATAAACTGATAGGAGAGGGCTATTGTCAGATATCACTCCTGTGATGTACTGACTCTCAGGTGCAGACTGCTGCAGTGACACAGAGGTAGTTTGGAGCTGTGACTCACATAGCGCTGATGGTAGTAGGAGGCAGGGGAGGCAGAGGAGGCAGAAGGTCGAGGGGGGATGACTGCCTCGCCAGAACGCTGCAGGCCGGCTGGGAAATCCCTCAGCATGGTGGTGTGAGCGACTGGAGGGAGCTCATGATGACCTAAAACACATGGATATAATGCATTCAGAGCTGCGTGAGTGTCTGTGTTTGTGTCGGGGTTTGGATCACTTTCTTGAGTGGTCATTAAATCCGGGATGTTATAAATTTGAGGGAGTTTTGTGACCTTTTTTTCTTGCTTTCAAAAACTAAGCTAATGTAAAAGGATTTCAGATTTGGACATTTGAGAAGAGAGGAGTCATTTAACTAGGAATTACATTCCAGGTGAATTAAACTCTTCCTCAACAAGAAAAAAGCTTGAGGATGAATTTTAATGTCTCTGCATGCAGTTTGAAACACGTTGAACATAAGGTGAGATTTTCTAAGCATAAATTATTGTGATTTTTGCTTGTTTAAGCCCCATGTAGCTTCTCTGCTCACAGGCAGACAGAATGCACCTTCTGCAGCGACAGGGATCAAATATCTTGCTGTCATTTTTAAATGAACACTTTTCAGAAATCAATATGTTTTGCAAGAAAATAAAGAACCTTGATAATTACTCTGTGATTTGGAAGTATAGTTTACACAATACATACACTCAATTCATATTAATATGCTATGGCAGTAGGTACATGTCACCATAAATTACAGAAGTAGTTTAGTTTGATCAGCCACCCACCTTTTAGGAAGTTTAAATTTTCATTGCTATTGAATGACATCCACTAATGACGGTTTGTGTGTGTGGGTTTGTGTGTTTACCTATTAGCAGCCAGTGGTTTTTCTGGCTGTTTGTGCTCCCTGGTGGGTAGCGCACATCGGTAGACGGTGTGATCTCACACTCCCCTCGCTCTCTGACTGTCACTCCAGCTGTCACCGGACCCTCGATTCGAGCCAAAGTCAGTCCCTGAGGCTGCCATGGCAACAAGAAGCAGAAAACCAGTCACAGAACAGCTATCTTGTCATCTTGTCATCGCCCCAACTTATTATCAGTTCCTGTCTGTCTGACACACCTGATCTGATCACTGTAATTACTATTAGTGTCCTGTTGAAGCAGGAGGGAGAATCTCCACAGGAAGCATGACATGGATGACTAAAAGAACTGTCAGTGTGAGTGCAGTTATACGATGAACACAGATTATATATTTACACTCACCACTAATGAGACTCCATGGTGGACAAGGGACGTGGAGGCGTAGAGGTGAGTGTCCAGTTTTCCGACATAGAGAGTGGGTCTTAACGAGAAAAAAGTCATGTTATTCTCTCAGCTAATTATTTATTCATAATTATTATTATTCATTTTTCATTGAGATACCTCAAACATGTAGTGATTTTTATCACATGGAATAGATTAATTGACTCAAGACAAGAAATAGCTTTCCACAGATTTCCAAAGTATAGCAATGGATGAAAAAAATAAACACCAGTTTGAATCAAGTTTTGTCACTGTTATAAAGTCACAAAAAATACTTGTTTCTGATTGACTGGCAGGTGTCCTTTAAAAGAAATAACCCCGTCATTTAAAATATAGCTCCAGCCAACAGTTTAACAACCGCTGTAAATCAGCACACTAGACACTGTATATTAAACTGCAGCACCAATAGTTCATGCTGCCGTTCCTGTTAACTCACAGTGGTAACAAACCTAACCAAGGATAAATAGAGTGGGTGATGTTTTTAAAGGGATCGCAGGGGATTGTTTCAGTGTACTACCTACAGTAGATAGCATTTAGCACACCACCAGTTTGCAGAAGCAGAGAGGAGTAGTGACATGGAAGCTAAGCAAAGCTCTGCTTTGGTAGGGGGCAGCAGCAAAGTATATTTCAGCCACCTAAAAAAACACCTGTACACTGTAGAATATTTACACCACTTTACCTTGCTATCAGACAGGCCTTTTTGGCGTGGCACTGAAGCCATTGTCTATGCTCTCTTCAAAGCCAGACTCCATTAGCAAAAACAGTCATGTTAACCCCAAACACAAGAGCTGCAGGTCTACCGCTGCTGCGATCAGTTTCAACAAGGTGACTGATGAGTATTTAAACACACACAGACAATGAGCTGATTTAATGTGTTGAGTGTTTTGTAATGACTTTGTATGTTTGTTTTACTATTTGTCTGCTTTTTATAATGTTGTCTTTTGTGTTTTGGTGAGCCCATGGTGGACAAGAAACATATATTTCATTCTATTCTATTAGTTTGTGTTGTTTTGTGACTAAAGTTTAAAAGGGTTACTTCAGATTCACCAAAGTCACACAAGACTGTTTCTATAAATTGAGTCTGGGGCCTTTAAAGAGAGCATAGTTTAGTTTCTGTTTCAGTTCAGTCCCTCATCATAAAGGGCTGTCTGACGGCAAAGTTAAGTGATGAAAATATTCCAAATATAGCGTACACTAAAGCTGTTATTGATTATTTACGGTGAGCTTTTTTAGGTGGCTAACATAGGTTTTGCTCCTGCCCTCCATCCACAGCAGTACATTGGTTAGCTCCCGTTTTGGTACTCCTGCTTCTCCAAATTTGAGTCATGCCATCCACCATCTACTGCAGGTAATACACTGACTGTGATTAAGTACCTCATTCGACCCCACTTGAAAAAAACCTAAGGTAACCTGACAGAGAAAATAAAAGATTCAGCAGTTCTTGATCTTCCGTCCCCCCATTAAATTTCAATGCCAGGACACCTTTCAGTGTATCATCACTTACTTACATTTTAAATAAGCTTGTAGGAGCAAATTGGAAAAGTGTTGGCCAGGCTTTGTGCAGTCTGAGAGCCCTCTAGTTAGCACTTGAATAAATAATGTAATCAGACGGATGAACATTACAAGGCTCTTTCATATTCATGTTTATAATGTTATTCTTACACAAGTTGTGTTTGTGCGCTGGCTTGCTCCTTCACAAACTGATAGCTCCACTTCAGTGTGGAGTGTGTGTCTGCCTGGTCGTTGGCAGAAGAGAAGGTGAGGAAGCGAAGCGTTTCCATGGCGAGGGACAGGTGGGGGGCGTGTCTCAGAGAGTCTCCGGAGTACAGGTAGACCCCTACGACGGGCGATCCATAGTTCTGACTCCACAAGACGTCACCTGAAAGACAGAAACACACACTTGCAGACTTATGCTGGAGTTGAGATGTAAATAAACACATCAACCTCTCACACACATAAAAGGTGATAAAATATTCACATAATAAAACCACACACCTCCCCCTACCTGTCTCTCTGTCAACTGTCACAACGAGACCATCACCACTCGACACAAGATGGGCCATCTCTGTAGGTGCAACAGGTTGGACGTGTCAGCTTTGAGTCTTTCACACATGCTTGCAGATTTGAATGAACAAAGTCTTTGTTCTTTTGATTGCCAAGTTTTAAACAGCTTTATCTACATGTTTTAAATATGAATATTACACCAGAAAGCACTTAGAGCTAAATCTATATCTCAAACAACATGTATCAAAAGGCACGGCCTGACTTGACTCATTCAAGTAAGTACAATATTTCTAACTTTTTCTTTGACTGATGGTTTAACTTAATACTTTATTTGACCTCAATATGAGATCTAACATCTCCTTGGTGGAAGTAAATAACTAAACTTTGAGAAGAAAGTGAATCCTTGACCTTGAAAATAGTTAGACAACACATTTAAATATAAATTAGCACTTACATGTTATAAATATAACATTACAGTGACTAAAGTGACTCTAATTCTTCTCAAATGCACCTGTTCTGTAAATACAGGTATCCAAAGATGTGTTTTTTAAAGATCCAGTGTGAAAGATTTAGGGGACTGACAGAAACTGAATATAAACTGAACTAAAAATTTAAACACTTGTTTCTTCTCTAGTTTTTCACAGGTTTAAATGAAAGATCTGAGACATTTTTATGCACTCAAAACATATATTTCTTTCACATTTTGGTCTAAAATGTGTTAAAATCTGTGTCAGTAAGTACTTCTCCTTTTCCAAGATGAGCCATTTATGTTTTCATGTCGGCCATCGTTGGCAGCCCCATTGCAACAAGAGCTTCTGAAAAACACTTTGTAAAATCTGAAACTGCTTTATTCTGTGTTTAAACCACTATGTCTGTTTGTTTCAGAGAAGAAGAGACCTCTGTGGATAATTCAACTACTGATAAAAATCTTCTGAACATCTTGATTGGAAGTTATCAGAGGAATAGTGTCAGCACAAATTAGCAGGTGCTGGGCTAACGGCCTGCCTCCGACATGCCAAACAGCGTCAGAGAAACACTATTTTGTGACATGAAACTGCTTTATTCAGTGTTTTTAGAGGAAAAGACTTCTGTTCCCAGTAAAAACCTCCTGATCAATGAACACTGAAGGAATTCTAATCAGGAGAAGATTCAGCTGGTTGAAATCTGCAACCCTCACTGCTAGATGTCACCAAATCCCCCTAAATCCCCACACTGATTCTTAAAAGCTCTAACTTATCACATAGCAGGTTCTGCAAGAGTGTTATACATTCATGTTTACTTTAAAATAATCCAGCCAATTAACCCTCCATAACTCAGTGTGTGTGCAGGGGATGTGTTTGTGAGAGACGTACTGTAGTCCTGTTTGTCATCGTATGGTGGAGCAGAGTAATCATTGTAAGTAGCGTTCCATTGCAGCTCCTGTGTCTTGGTGTCAAACATGGTAACCATGTATTCTGGGAAAAAAAAGGACAGGTGCAAATTTCAACAGTAATCCAAGGTGCACAACTGTGTGTCTTTATGTGTGCAAGGCATGTTAGTGTGCATGACATACCTGTGCGTCCAATGTAAAGTAGGGGAGTGTTGGGGCAGATGGATTCAGAGGTGGAGGTGGTTAAACTGGTTTGCTTTTCGCCTGTCTCAGGATCGACCACGATCCACACATCCTGCTTTTTACCTTCATGTGCACACCCACACACACACACACACACACACAGAAATGTTGGCCAACAGCAGTACAGTATTTCAAATATTTATGTCTTGTCTGTCATGCTCCGTCTCTGACAACTGTCTGTCTCACACACAATTTTAAGACCAAGCAGGTCTGCACATACAACACACACACACAGTGTCTCACCTGTATAGAGTATACCATCAGAGCTCCTGCAGGGAGCCGACTGGACCAGCTCTGGGATGGTGAAGGGCAGTTTCTGCAGGTACATCAAAACAATAAGGTTATAAAGAGAAAACTAACACATAAAAACACGCACACAAATGTGCTGCATTGTTTACCATCAGGCCTTCCTTGTGTTTGCCCCCCAGGATATACAAACTGCCATCGTTGGGGTCTGGGAGAAACCCCGGCCTACAGAAACAACATTCATACATCAGTTCATTGATTATTTGGAGTATGTCAACACTGTTGCACCAATATATCTTTGAATATCTCACTTTGTCCGAAAGGTCAGTGTTTTTGAACCTAGACCACCTTTTCCCATGTTTTTGCATCTAAGTGATTAATGGAGACAAATTTTTTGAAATTGATCAAGTATTGAGATAGAGGCTACGGGCAGCTGTACACCGTCACTTTATGTCCATTTAAAGTGCTTGTTTTTGTCGCTGACAGACTCAGATTGTTATCATAAGTGTCTGACAACAAAAGGAAAAGACCCTGCAGAGAAATAAAACATTTTTCTTTACTATTCACTGATCTGGTCTGTGTCTTTGTGTGTCTAACATAGTCTTGCTAAAGCATAAGTCTCATTCTAAAATCTTACAGCCACAGGGTCCAGATTTCTCCTTAGTCATTAGTTCAAGGTCCACACAGTTTAATATATTCAGTGTCATACTTGTGTTTGGTCATGGCGTTGAGCTAGTTTGCTGCCTCTGTTAAGTAGCTGTTTATTATTTACTCACTAAACAGCAGAAAACGGTACTTCACAATAAAAGCTGCGTGCCAGAATTCACTGTACTCCAAGATAAAGTGTGTTTTTTACAAACTTGACATGTTTGCGAGTCACTTGCGGTCCATTCAGAGCAGACCCTTGACCCACTTTTGGATTGCAACCCACCAGTTGGGAACCACTGCTTTTGATGACACTAAGCTATGCTTTCTGTACTCCAACACTCTTCCCATCACTCCTCTCTCCAACTCTCTCTAACGTTTCCATTGTTGTGTTTCCCGCAACAAGTCACCTCAGGACGAGACTTCTCCTTGGGCGAGAGTTGGTCACAGTAACAAACATACCAGCGAAAGGTAAAGAAAAACATTTCATTTCTCTGTAGGTTTTTTCTGTCATGCTGTCAGACACTTCTAATAATAACAATCTGAGCCAGTCAGTGCGAAAAAAGCACTTGTAACGTGTGTGCAATTGCCTGTAGGGATTACACTGCAGCCTGTTCTGCCAGTGCGGCTGGAGCGCTCTCTCTCACTATTGACCCAGTTTAAAAACTGTTGTTCCCATTAGTCTCTTGGACACAAAAACATAGGAAATAAGGGTCTAGGTTTAAAAAAAAAAAAAAAAGTTTCCATTTAATTAATGTGTTTTTTTTTTCTGAAAGGCTTAGCTGAATTAAATGATTGCAAAATTGGCACAACTAGGGAGTATCTGATCAGCGGAAAAGTAAACATGACTACAAATTTGCCACAATTTGGTATACTGTGCTATGAACATATTCCTAATGTATTGCATGGATGTTTAAATACTGTATGTATATGCATGTGTACTTGCATGCGTATGTGTGTTACTCACTCTGTGAGGTAGACAGGTACTTGAATAATGGGGTCTGAAAGAAATCAAAGAACAATGTCATGAGAAATATTTAAAAATGACAAAAACATGATGATTTAGAAAACAGTGTTTATGGGTATGAACCTTCTCGTAGGGTCCACTTGATGTTCCCTGACTGTTTGGAGACGGCGTGCAGACTACCGTCCAGCGTGGAGACAAACAGGAGGGATTCTGGGAGGGTGACCGATCTGACTCCTCCAACCTGATGGGTCGCCAGCAAGAGGAAGAGAAAGAGAAAGGAACTTAAAACCAGCTGTCTGACAGTCGTCAGGTCATGAACATCTGAGATTTCAGCATAGCTAGACTGTCAGTGCAGCATGTGTGTGTGCGTGTTAGTGGGTGTGTCAGATCCGTCTGGGGTTGGCAGCCCAGCTTTGCAGTAAATTTCATCTCCAGTAATAATACTGAGTTCCTCATTTAGCAGGATATCCTTGTCCCTTCCTCCTCCTCCTCCTCCTCCTCTCAAGACTTTACCCTGTACTGAACTTGTCTGTGTTTGTCTGAGAGCGTGTGTGTGTTCACCACTCCCATATTTACCCACTAACGGGTGGTAACTGGCAACACAGAACTGCACAGCACACCATTGAAAGCACCATATCTTTATGGGAAACACTGACTCAAGACATGCATAGAGACGCTCGTGCACGCGCACAGACGTTGAAACACACGCACACACAGTGAGACACACACAAACACACACACACACACACACACACACACACACACACACTACACACAGTATTAACTTTCTTCCGGCAATTTGGACCAAACGTCCTATCATCATATCATGGCAACTTTACTCGAGCCTGAAATAGACACAGAGGAGCGGTGGGATGCCAGTTGCGGTCTCCGCTGCGCAGAAATAGCAAGACCCAGGCGGTACTAACAACAACAGAAACACCCACACACAGTTTAAGGTTACAAACTTTACCTGAAATACTGTGCCTTCCCAGGACAGCAGGAGGAGGAGGAGGAGCAGGCGTCCCACAGCCCCCATGACCCCCAAAACACTTTGCTTCATGGCTGTGAACAAACGGTGGACTAAAGCTATTGAACTAGCAACAGAGGTCGAACTCTCTGTCCATTTCCAGCGCGCGCGTCCATCTGTCAGAGAGTTAGCACCGGCAGTTAAACATCGTTAAAGCCGCGCGAAGAACCAACAAACACGGTGAAAGCTAAGCTAGCAGCACCGCTTTAAATCCATAATAACAGCAACGTTGCCGTTCTTGTCACTTTCCCATATTTCCGTGTTGGGACGGAACCGGTGACGTCAGGAGCGGACCGTCAGGCAGCGGAGGGGGGCGGGTACCATCGTATCCCTGCGCTGAGGCTCAGCCAATAGGAGGAGAGGGTTGGAACAGAAGGGGCGGGGCTATAGAAACGGCTGGAACACGTGGAAACAGACAGCAGGGCAGTTGTGAGCGCAACAAGAGCGGGTTTTTGTGCAATAGAAAGTGGTGGAGTGCGTCATTGTCTGTTCACTCTCCTCTTACACTCCCTACAGCACTGGGACAATGTAACTTAGTACAATTACTCAAGTACTTTACTTACAGTCAAAGTACTTGTACTTTTCTTGCGTATTACCATTTTATACAACTTTATACTTCTAGTCCACAACACCTCAGAGGCAAATATTGTACTATTTACTCCTCTATATTTGTCTGACAGCTTTATATTATCAATTATATACAATATTTCTTCCTAGATGTAGTAGAGTAAAAATATGCCATGGCATGAAAAGACTTGAGTAAAGTACCTTGGAATCTGTACTGAAGTTCAGTAGGCCTACATTAGTAAATGTAATCAGTTACAGTACTTTCCACCTCTGACTTTCCCTTCAGTAGATTTCAGTTGGAAATACTGTACTATTGACATTTTATTTCCTTATTTTTCATTTGGCAGGTAGTGACATTGCAGGTAAATAAATTAATATAATTTTACAAAATATAATGGATTACTATTGATTTCCTGTATAATTAATAATACTATATTCATTATTAAGTATATACAATATTTCCATCTGTGATGGAGTAGAAATATACCATGGCATGAAAAGAAAACACTCAAGTACCTCAAATTTGTAAAATACTTGACTATATGTAATTAGTTACTCTCCACTCCTGACTGATAAATAAATGAATATAATTTTACAAAATATAATGGATTACTATTGATTAACAATAAGTTCATATCAAGTATACTATGTCTTAGGTATTGTATATAATTTTAAAAAAATACTGTATTTATTATTAATTATATAAAATATTTCCCTTTGTGACCATGTAGAAATATACCATGGCATAATAGGAAAAGACTCCTCAAATTTGTACCCAAGATAAATACTTGATTGTATGTAATTTCCACCCCTGACTTTCCCTTCACAAAATTTTAGAAGGAAATATTGTGCTTATGACATTTTATTTCATTATTTTTCATTTGGCAGGTGGTGACATCAAAGGTAAAAAAAATAAATATAATTTTATAAAATATAATGGATTACTATTAATGAACTGTACATTAAGTTCATATCAAGTATATTATGTTTTGGATATTGTATATAAAGCAATTGACTGTATGTAATTTGTTACTTCCCAACCCTGACTTTCTCTTTATTAGATTTTTAAGGGAAATATTGTACATTTGACTTTATATATCTTTTTTTTTCTTTTTCTTTTTTTTTTGGCAGGTGGTGACATTGCAGGCTAAGACTTACATAATTTTGTAAAACATAATGGATTATTTACAGTATATTCAGTTTATGCTATGTTTTGGAAACAAAACTATGCTTTTACTTGCTTTCCTTTTACCTTTATTTTGCCTAAGTCCTTTTTATAATAAATTTACGCTCTGAAAGGGATCATTCTGCATCTTAAGTACTTTTATTTTTGATACTTGATTCCAGTGTCAATCAAGTTGATTAATGAGGAGTGTGTCTAACGTATATATTATGTATTTAATTTGATGCACCGAGGCTAACTGGGTGACTATGTGTTGTAATGTGTTTATTTTTATTTTGGTAATTATATGTTGATTGTATGTATGTGTATGCTGACCCCTAGCTCCAAGACAAATTTCTCCAAGGAGACCAATAAATGAACTGAACTGAATTTAACTGAAGTATATTTTGGTGTTAATACTTCTGTACTTTTACTTAGAGATGTACTGTACTACTTTCATAAAGTTGGAGGACTCATCAAATTTTCATTAAAGATAATTTTGTGAAAATCAAATCAGTAGAGGACAAGACATCCTGACTTAAAGCTCATTATGTTGGACCAAGTTTCAAAATATTTGATCCAACATTGTCCAAAATATAACAAAAGCATTTATTAATTAGACCCTCATTACCTTGTAGACACTCACTCTTTCAAAACATATGCCCCCTATTTGTTCAACCTTTACTTATAATTTGCAAGTCTCTTGAGATTTGTTAAAAATAAGTCATATCTAAGCCTAAACTGATATTCTGAGATGATCAAGGTCCTCCTGAGCTACACAAGAAATTATGCAACTGTTTCCAGGGGCTGAGAGGTACTCTCTGTACTATTAACCTGACTTTACCTTAAGTTACTCGCATTACACTTTTATACTGTGGTATTTTTGGTCAAGATATGTGAATACTTCTCCACATGCACAGTAAAAGTAGAAAAAGAAAGACAGACATTTGCAAAAACACTTTACTTCTCTGCAACATGTTTCCCTTCAGAGAGATGTCAGCTAACAGTTAGCCCCAGTCCTTTCCCTTTGACTTACCAAAATACTATTCACAAAATACGATTCAAAGTGCCTTTCCACGGGGGAAACAGACTGGGATAACGCAGCTTGTAAGCAGGTGTGCTTCAGATATGAAATGATGAGAACAATAAAATAATACTGGCAGGCACTTCAGTCATTTGAGGTATGCACAGAACAAATAAAACACACAGCATCATAGACTCGTCTTTAAAGGCATTTGCTGGCTGTGTGCAGGTAGTTGAGGTTTGGGCTCCACACACAGTGCAGTGCCCAGGCCTTTGGCTCTCGGTGGTCTACTGGTGGAGCATGCTGTCAGGTTTGGGATAGCCAAACAGCTTAAAGTCTGGTTCGTACAGCCTGTACAGTTCTCTCCTCATTGTCATGGGAATCTGCGCAAACCAGTCTCTTTCCCAGCTGGCCGCAGTTCGGTTTCGAGCCCCTGAAGGGAAGCGTACCAGATGATCCACCTCCAGAAGCTTCAGCAGGTGCTCCGCGTCTGTTTCCAGGGTTTCTAGTCGTCCAACGAAGTCGTACTTCACCTGGCATGGATGGCACAGACGGTACACCTGAAACACACACAAAGCAAGTCTTCAGTTTTAAAAGTGCATCAGTTTGGGCATATGTTTGTGACTTTGTTATACCTGCTTTCTCCATAGCTGTTTCGAACTTGTGTGTGTGCACATATCTTGGTATACATGAAAAACAGGTCACACAACTCGTCTCCTGTTCTGTGTTTATTACCCCAAATGTTTATGGCTACACTGCCCTCCTCAATAATTATATGAATGGCAGAAGTAGAAGATAAAGAGACAGAGACACATGAAAGAATAAAAAAAAAAATCTAAAAATTAAAATCAAAAATCAAAAAAGATAAGTGGCATATTATCATGCCAGAACAATGTGCATGCTGAAAAATGCCGGCATTCAGACTCAATGGTGAGATTGTTTGAGCGTGGAATTGATTGATGCAGTTGTCCAACAATACAACACAGGAAAAAAATAGCACTCACGACCAGAAAAGAAGAAACAAGCTTCTCACAACCAGAAACTAGAATTACAGCCTCACAGTTGTATGCCTCCATGCACCAGTCAAGTTGCAGTTACAGTTTTTATCCATGTCAGTGAAAACATACATGCTTCACACACATTCTCCCTCCAGCAGCACAGAAGTTAATAATGTAATCATAATAAACCTTACTTATAAAACGCTTTCCAAAACAAAGTTACAAAGTGCTTTACATGACTGATCCCGGATTTTTAAAAAATGCAGGATTTAAGCGAATAAAATCAGACAATTTAAAGAAATACCAAGAAACAATACCAATTCAGTCAATACCAAATCACCAATTCAGTACCTGACCAAATGTCTCCTTTCTGTTCCTGATATACTGTATGATGTTGAATAATGACCAGAAAAGTGTTTTTGCAAAATATTATGATGTCATAGTGAAGTTGACCTTTGACCATGTCATCACTTCATCATTATATCCTGTTAGACATTTGTTTGAAATTTCTGTCATAATTAGCAAATTAATTCTTGAGTTAAGACTTTTCTTGAGTCATGGCTAAAAAACATGCTTCCTGAGGTCACTGTGACCTTGACCTTTGACCTTCAACCACCAAATTCTAATCAGTTCATTCCTGAGTGCCAAATTTGAGGAAATTCCCTCAAGGTCTTCTTGAGATACCGTGTTCACAAAAATGAGACAGATACAAGGTCACAGAGACCTTGACCATTGACCACCACAATGTAATCAGTTGTTTTTGAGTCAAAGTAGACGTTTTTGCTTTCCCTCAAGGTGGTCTTGAAATATCCGATTACAAGGGTGAGATGGATAAGGTCACAGTGACCTTGACCTTTGACCTATGACCACCACAATCTACTCAGTTTGTTGTTGAGTCCAAGTGGAGATTTGTGCAAAATTTGAAGAATATTCCTCAAGGCTTTCTTGAGATATCTCATTTACAAGAATGGGACGTGCAGACTACCTAAAAACGGGCCTCCAGCCTTGACTATCACCATCTCGAAGGCATAAAAAGAAACAAGAGCTTCTCACAACCAGACAAAAACAGAAACAAGCTTCTCACAACCAGAAAAAGAAACAAAAAGCATTGGCTCCAACAACAGCTGCCAAAACAAAGAAATATTCAAATTGGAATTTCTCACTGTGATACATAAATATCCTGTATATTAAATGCCAAAACAGTGCAATGTCAACATCAGAACAGAGTGTATGCTTCACAGAATTACTGCAGTATGAAGTATAAAACTGGGACACACAAAGTGCAACAATCTTAGGTAATAGCAAGAACTCTGTGTTATACTGGTGTTGTCTTTCAAAAAAATGATGTGAAAGTGGAATACGACCAACAGAGGGGGAGAGCATGCACATAGTGAGCTCATAAAACCCAGTCATCTCATAAATAATATTAATGCTGTGTGAGACGAATACCTGCCGCCAGTGTTCATTGAAGATACTCTCCCTCTCCGTCTCTGGATCCAGCAGGTACGTGATAAACTGCTGAAATGTTGG